TTTTTATTCAGGTCCATACTACAAGTAGTTTAGTTTCTAAAAGATGTGTAAGGAACAGGATCCGGTATCTAGTCATATATTTCTTCAGACCCTGCACAGCAGATTTATCTCTATATTGTCTCAAAAATGTGCAGATTTGACGGTTTGAAATTTTTAATCGATAGACCAACACACTTTTCTCCCTTTCCATTATGTATGCATGCATAGAGAACGTAAATCTACAAAACGTTAGTCCTTTGTGTTTAGAAACGTTTATAAAAGTAAATGACCTGTTAAACCTATTTTCCTGCTCGTCAAATGCAATTGAAAAAATAAACAAGCGAGGTGAATTTTGCTGGGTTACAGCATAGACCTAGCGATTTTGATCCAATTTTGTTACAGTTTATACCTAGATTTCGGTTACAGTTTAGATACTTGCCAAATTTCAAACAAAGTTTGTGTATCCATTATTTTTTATGAAATAACTCATACCTATCTATTTAAAACATTCTTGAAAGGTTGTACATGTATTTATTTTTTTCTTCAGCAGAAAAGTAATAGTTTGCTATTTACCTTACTTTAAATTTCAGATTGAGTCTTTTTGCAGAATAAGTAATGTCCTAAGTAAGGACTATTTTCACGACAACAACAGTAACTTTTATCAAATTGTATGGAGAGAAATAAGATTATTGCTTGATTCCATTACACATTATAATAATGCCTATTAGTAATAAAATAGAGAAAAAACAGAATCTTTAACAGAAGTCCAACACGGCAAACATGAAAATGTTGCAGCCTCAATTTTATTGAGACTGTTCATGAACGGTAGTGGTAACTGCAAGCTACCGTCCACGCTCGTCTCCTAGCACCGGCTTCAGCAGAATTCACATGAAACATGAACTGGTAAACTTGACACTTTTTAACATCTGTGGATGTGTTCATATTGCGGTTATCATGAAACCTTCAATGTAACACGTTATTTCCATTCCATGAAAAGCGGCATATTACCCTAGGTTAAAAATTGCGTGTGCCCTCAACGAGAATACAATAAGTGAAACTAAATAAAATGAAATTTTGAGAGGAGATCGGAGGTTATGAAGCCTGCATACCACAGATAAACTGTCAAAAGACACAATTAAAAAAACAGGCAATACTCTAAGGGTGTTTAAACAGTATCTAAGTTAGAAATACTGCCACCGTAAAACATATTTTAAGTTGTAGTTTCCATCTAGAATAATGTATTTTGTAAGTATTTAAAAGGATTTGTTACGTTTGGTTTTCATGGATTTTAAATTTCAACGACATTGATGTCATGTGAAAATATTCCTGCTTTAGTGTAAAGAAAGACCCCAGATACCCTTTGTAAAACATGTCAGATACGAGCGGGCTCCTGACTAGAACCACCGACCTCCATAAACTAGCTTGATAGATTCCTCACATACAAATAATCCAAAGTCATGATAGGATTTCAACCACAACAGTAAAGAAAAGATGAAATTAAGTCGGCGACCTTATCCCGACTCTACCACTATTATGTACCTCCATCAGGATATTGTAATTGTCTGACCTTAATTTATACTTTCAATATTATTTTCTTTTTCAGAAACATGAAAACTTCTATACATGATGTCTGAAATAAAAAAAGACTTCTAATTTAATATTGACAAAAGAAACTTTACTTCCAATCACCTCGCTCTATACTGTAACATTGTTTATTTTTTCAAACTCATTTAACGAACAGGAAAATAGGTCCAACAGGTCATTTACTTTTATAAACGTTTCCTAACGTTTTGCAGATTTACTTTTTCTAGGCATGCAAAAAATAATGTCGGAATGGGAGGAAAATGTGTTGGTCTCTCGATTCAAATTTTCCAACCATCAAATCTGCGTCTTTATGAAACAATATAGAGATAAATCAGCTGTGCAGGGTCTGAATAAATATATGACTAGATACCGGACTCTGTTCCTTACAAGCACAGCACAAAACATCTTTTAGAAACTAAACTTCTTGTAGTATGGACAGGAATAAAAATCACCTACCTGTCCTCCCACAAAATTAATAATACTCCATCTTACTGTTTCCGGAAAACGCGATACTGTAACACGTTCCCTACGGTGCGAAGGTAAAATACAATTTTATTATAAGAAATAGCAAGAATATAAAAAAATCATGTAGCGTACCAATTTGGCAAAGAATGGCTATATTACTTGAGATAACTGTAAAAAAGTTTTCATATTTATTGCCTGGTTTAAGCCTGAAAACGGGATAAGTGTTTTTCTCTGAATGCTCCCACTCGGGCTTTTCCCGAAACATGACAGAAATAAGGTTAAAAACTTTCTGGAAAATTATTTTTAAAGTACCGGAACATAAACCTAGTCATGTTTACACATATTTCTAGATTGGTTTCAAATACTTCTATTCAAATGTCAGTTTTTCTTAATTCGTTTTTTATAAAAATGGAAAATGCTCCCACTCGGACTCGATTTTAGAGTCGACGGATTTTCTGCAAAAAATGGTCCGAGTGGGAGCATATAGCAGGTGCGCGGTGACGTAGTATCCTACCATTGGTACAGTACATTTGAAATCTACAGAGATAGCACTTTCAACGAAAGAAAAACCAAAGTAAATTTTAGATCTACGATCAAGTGTATTAAAGACATTAATAGACGTCATAGATAGGCCAGAAGGTGATAATCGGCCCTGAAATATATTTTATGCCTTCGGGCTGAAGCCCTCGAGGTCATTATTCATTTTGCGGGCCGATTATCTACTATTGGCCCTACTCTGCCGTATATTTATCTCTTATTAATATATATATATATTATATATAATCCTTTCTGTCAAATGTGTCTAACAACGGTGTAAACACTTGTATGTGCCTAAATGTTTGGTTCAATTATCGCCTGAACTATTCAAAGTATTTTCATTTAATAAATATCAATCAATTTGCTTTAGAAATCATTTAAGTTTTCAAAAGAACGCTTATAGTATTTCTCGTTTGTTTATCAGTATTATAGTGAATCGATCGATCAATCAACCAACGATCCTACCCCAAAACGAATATAACAAGAAAAACGACCAAATATGTGGTGAAAAAAACCCAACCAGCCGATCATTCAATCTATCAATCAATCAATCAGTCAGTCAATCATCAATCAATCGATGATCGACCAATAAATCGATCAGTCGATCAATCCAATCAATCATATTGCATATCACATAACCTAGGAATTATGGATACGGGAATTTCTCGAATCAAGATTATGTTTTCTGATAAAAATACCATTACATTTACCGACGTGAAGTGTTATAACTATGTTACAGAAATAATCATATTTACGATATAAATCTACTATAACTTGTATAAATAAATAATACCTCAAAAGAAGTCCAACAATCACGATTTGAAGAACGAACATAATTCAAAATATTGTAAGATAATAGATATTCTTAAACACAGTCGAATAATCCACGATCTTTAAATGTGACTTATTTCGTTTTCGCATATAATTTTTTCTTAAACTGTTTTATTTACATCCGGGACGTTATGCAGAGAAACTATACAACGATATAATATTATAATGTTTAACAAAGAAGATGTTACCACTTTTACGCAGCAAATTTTGTGCAACTATCGTATAAGAATGATTAATGACACACGACGCATATTATTATTTTATTGCCATAGCTATAATATATATCTTCACAATAGTAGTTATCATAACCATAATCAAAAACGTTATCATCATCTTTATTATCATCGTGATCTTGATGATAATGATTATAATGATAATTATAATAATAAATTAATAATAGTAATAATAAATTAATAATAATATTAATAATAACAGTAATAACAATAAAAATAATAATAATAATAATAACAACAACAACAACAATAATAATAATAATAATAATAATAATAATAATAATAATAATAATAATAATAATAATAAAAACAATTATAATAATAATAATGATAATGAATTAATGATAATAATAATAATAATAATAATGATAATAATAATAATGATAATAATAATAATAATGATGATAATTATAATAATAATAATAATGAATTAATGATAATAATAATAATAATAATAATAATGATAATAATAATAATGATAATGATAATAATAATAATGATAATAATAATAATAATAATAATAAATTAATAATAATAATAATATGTCAACATCATTTTCATTATCGTCATAATCATTATCATCATCGTCATTTTTGTTATCATCATCACCACAATATATTGAATAATAGTACCCTTAAATAAAAACAGTTTTCATCTTTTACTTTCTTGTTCGAAATCAATTGTATGTAGTTTCAAGACCTATTTATAACTTCTAAAAATAGATCGGGAAAAGAATCGTCCGCTTTACTAGAGGGGACCGGTAAATTAGAGGAATCGAGGGGTTTCCTTACTTTTTATCAAATTTTATCGACGGCAAATTTCATTTTCCATCTTAATTCTTTTGATTTGGCAATAATATGAAAAGATTTATTTAAAAAAAAACAGAACATTTTTAACCTTAACAAAAGCTGGAGGCCGCTTTTAGTAAATTTGTAGATTATAAAAGTAAAAGGTACATTATTTGTATAGTATAACTTATTATAATTGGTTGTAGAAACCGAAAGTACATAATGCCTGCCCGTTGACAAATAATTCGGATTTAATTTTTAATTGGGTGTCTATGTTTAATTGACAATATTATGATTGTCTGACATATTTTCATTCATAATTTTACACAAATTCGCTTTTAACTTTATATTCTTTTCGACTCGTTTTATGTTGTTTTAAGGTTACACTCTCTGTTTATGATGAACTCACAAACCATGTGGTAGAACTAATTTCAATCCGCAGGAATTAAGTTGGAGGTTATTATGAATAATAGCCGAGATATTCCGATTGGCAGTTGAATATTCATTTAGCAAACTTTTTATTTGGCGTTGTAATGTAAATCATGTGTGTTAAATAACTAACACTCAATCAAGACTAAAAAACAACTTTTTTTGTCTTTTATTTTCTAAATTTTATCAAGCAACAATTAAACACATAAGTCCTTCAGCGCGTGCTTACAGGTTATATAGATACATAATAGATACATAAAGATTATTTATGATATCGCAGCAGTTACTCCGCCATCACCACTCTTTCCCAGCACCAGAAAACAGCGAGGACTTTGACATTTTGGTTTTCAAATCCTATGGTAAATGTAACACTATGGCAGCAGTTAGATGTGAAAATCCAGCAAATGTCCGCTCCCTGATAGTGTGACTGATACCACGGCTAGTTTGTGTTAAAACGAAACCACAACATTGTCCGAAAAATCGGCTCATTCCCCCCACCACACTATCTGCCACACTTGCCTAGGGTCTTGTGGTAACCACCGACTATTTCAAAAGATAACATAAAATAAAGCTCAGCAGTTTATTTGGAACAAGTACAGTTGAATTCACAAGTGGAGGTGCGGAAAAATTTCTTTGAATACGTGTCACTAATACGTTCCACACCAAGCCCACATATAAATTGCACATTATCATGTAAAATAATGAGGGTTTAAAAGTGCATGCCGATCAAAATAAATATATATGTATACAGTGTATATGGTGTATATGAAAATAAAGGTATTCGAAAATTTATATTATCCACGTTACATGGTATGTACCCGATTTAGTTAACACTATATTTGTACAATTAACGGAGTATTGGCAAATTTTTGTATTTAGTGGCGGTCTACCAGAGAGGTTCTAAATTCTAGAGGCTATATCATAAGTTTGCGTAATTTTCTAGTACATTTAATATGTTGTTTATCTGGATTGTAAGTGCCATGATAATATTATACTATCTTAATTAAAGGTCTATCATGCCCAAGAAACGCTTTTATTTTTCTTTCTAAAAAGCTTCTTATTTTAGGTGTACTTTTACAGTTTCCAAAAAGTTACTCATTGATCAATAACCTGAACTATCATTTTCTTCGTTTGCTGTTTGGCAATTGGTATAATATAATTACAGTGATGTAGTATTTTGTGTGGAAGTCAAATTTGTTTACATTTTGCTAATTTTGTGACAAATTCACTCATTAAGTGATACTTTCTTCATGTAACAAGTATCTAACTTGCCCTTAAACCATTATTTAAATGTTACAAAATTAATATTTGCCATTTTAAAGAAATAAATTTGTATTCGTTTTTGAGGCATAATGTGCCTTTAAATTGAATTGTAAAAGGAGATGTGCTGCTTTAAAGGGCGAGCCAATTTACTTTTTTAATAGAACAGATTATTATTTGCCTTATCAGTTAAGAATTTAAATTTTTATTAAACTTTATCAAACTAATTTGACCACATAAATTTGTGAAACTCCTCCATGATATTTACAAGAACATAATGAAAATAGTAAATTTAAATCCAATATTTTTTATTCAAATCAATAATCATAAATGTACAAATGACAATTCAATGACAGTCTATATAATGATCAACCCTATCACCAATATATCTATATCAATTTCCCGTTCATTATTCAACAGCCATACAAAGACAGTTTTGTTCCAAATGTCAACACAATTTACAATATTTGCGGCAGTTTTTCGCCATGAACCCCCTGTATTGACTATCAGTGCAGTATTTTGGATCATATTTCGAACAATCAGCGCAATCTGAAATGAAAAATACTTTCAAATATATAGAACAGAACAGAACAGAACAACACTTGATCAAATCTATCTACATAAAAGCAACGCAAAAGTTTACAATGTTAAATATGTAAACATATATTTAACCAATCTACTTATTTCGTACATGTAGACGGAGAGAGTTATAAAGAGCTGATTAAAATCAGATTGTTAATACAAAGAATTGTGAAAGAAATTTTTTTCTTATATATTTTATGTAATGTCATGATTTTTTACAAAATTATATGCGTTGCATTTAATTCAGCATTCACTCGTAAATATTCGGCAAATTTCGTTAATTTTCGTATTCTAAATGAAATAAAATAAAATAAAAGTCGATTTCACAAAGTGAAAATGTTTGGTATTAAATCGATTTTCTTTCGACCCTTTTCGTTTTCTATAAAAACAAATATGCGTCAATTTGACCATAGAGGTACTTAAAGATCCTGTAATTTTTTATGGTTTTAAATCATAAATATGATGCTTAAATTAAGATTTATCAATTTGGTATGTTCCGAAAAGCATTACATTTTTTGTGTTTATAAAAATATAACCGAATTTAGCATTTCATGTATGTAAAGGGAGGTAATAAAAAGTCTACTTTCTAAAAGGTCTTCGTCAAATTTTTCTATAACAAATGAATGCATATATTTTAATCATAACATACGTTTAATGTGCGTAAATATTTGCAGTACATATTTTACATATTCGTCGATGTTTAAAAATTGTTTTATAAGCATAACTACATACATATATATAATTTAACTCAAGTGTGGTATACAACCTCAATTACAACATACAAGATCTTTAACTGTAATGTTTCCGTTTATTTCTCCCAATCTTAGCATACATGTATTTATAAAATAGAATAAGCAAAACTAAATTGTAACAAATTTGATAGTTTTGCCCCTAGAAATTTACTTGAACAGGTTTCGGCTGTTATCGCAATTTTTGGTGGCTTATTTCTTTCATATTATATATTGTTACAATTTTAGGGAAAATGTCGATGTTGACCGAAAGAAAATTTTATTTTAAGTTTTGATTTGAACGAATAACCTAAATTTAGTTAAAACACATTTGAAATTAAGTATTAAAATTCTTCAGGAGTCAGTTTTATAAACGCACTATTGTATCAAAGTTTGGGGACTTTTCTGTTGAAAGTGTGTCAGAGTAAAATCGTATACATATGCATGTACAGTGCGTAAACTGGAGTGCAGGTTTTAGTTACCCGCACTCCAGAGCGTGCCCATTGATTGGTTCAATTTTGCTGGCGACGGAAGAGAAAGGGAAAGCCACAGAAATATGATATTCAGATGCTCGTTCATTGGTTACCTTTTCCCGGGGTCTCATATTGTGACAGAAGGGAACGTGTTTTTTATGTTTGAACATCAAAACACTCGGCAATCTGATTTATACTCGGGGGCGTAGCCCCTCGTACAAATCAGATAGCCTTGTGCTTCGGTGCTCTTTCTATTACTTCTATGTCAATTTCTATTTACATATTTTTTTTACAGAAAAGTTACAAATACAATTTAAATTGTTACTTTCTAACTACTTTTTGCATAAATATCAGCTTTAAAAATATTTTTACGACACTAGTCAACTCTTATCCTGATGGCGGCAACTGAAGTTACCCATGTGACTACAATCGGAACATCCTCGGCTATTATACATAATACGTCCTAATCCGAAGACTGACGGAAAAGGCCGAATGTTGCGATTGATGCAATAAATGCAGACTTAGATCAATCAGTATCCTTGCCGTCTGTTCATGGTCTGCACTGTTTGCTTTTCATTTAGTACTTGTATTTAAAGAACAGAACAGAACAGACATTTTATTAGACTTATACATCAGTATATCATCTTAATACATAAACATCTATGTTTATTTATTTAAATAATTCATTAAATTTTTAATTGTTTACTCAGTATATTATTGAACTTTAAGTAAATGTTTAGATACTAGACATTGCTAGTGATGTAGATTTGGGTAAACTATCATCTTTAGTTTTTTAGCATATGATTCGTTTTTATAAATATATCCTAAAAGGTCTATTTTATGCATGTGATGTATATATACCATGTCTAATCATTTTTTATTGTAGCTGTTTTATCTTTGTTGATCTTATACTTTATGTTATTTACAGTCGATTATAAAAGCTCCTAGAGCTTATGTTGTAATGTTTGAAAACTTGCCGACTTGAAATAAACTTATCTTATCTTAAACATGTCACATATCTAGAACATATTACAAAAGTTTAATCAAATGCACTTTAACATATATTTACATATACTACATACATGTATAACAAAGACAGTAAGGTAATAAGTATACTACAGCGCATCAGGTCATATTATTTATAAATAGATTTCGAATAACAAATGCCTCTTTCATATATTTGCACAAATTTAAAGATACCCTAAAAATGATGAATGATTTCGTCGAGGTTATAAGATGGAACAATAAGATGGAACAATCCATTTAAGATATTTAGGGTGATGAGCGTTCAACATTAATCAAGAAAAGATCCAAATAACTTAACAAAAAAAAACAACTACATGGATATAAAAAAGTCAAACAATATTATTCCACAAATAAATGACTAACTTACCACGACAAAGGTTGCATGACTGTGGACAATGAGCATGCATCCATACTTTATACGAGGGGTTATTACATGCATCAACTGATTGGTCTACTCTTTGACAGCTATTTTCGTCTACACACGAGCCATTTCCTGAAAAAATGAGAGCCATTTCTTAAAAAATGACGACATGTTAAATAGCGATTTCGTCGTCTTGAAGAAACTCCACTGAGGTTTAAAACCACAGAAACGGAACATTTTAATTTCTTACATAGATCATCCGGTGTACTTTTATTATAAAGATACGTAAAAATGATTAAGAAATATACTGAAATATTAATTGAAAATTATATTTTTGTGCTATTCTTAGCCTGCTTTGAGTGAAAAGCGTTGCAACGCGTTTAAATTCTGGGTCATTTTTCACAATAAGAATAATATTCTGTAAAACCGAAGTGAGCGAATGATCTTAAATGTTAGTTAATGGTAAAGATAATCATATAATAAAACAAGTCGAAAAAATATTTTCAGTCCTGTTATGTCAAAAAAAAAACTCAGAGGAATCCCTTTGAGTATTGTGTTTTCGTTATATATCTAATACTGTGGTATTATTTACTTTGAGGTATGACAATTAATACATGCACTTTGCAGCTAAAATAAATCACGTGACTTCTAAACCTTTTTGTTTGAATCAAATACACGAACATACAGCTTCTTAAATTGCTCGTTATTAAAGGAACTTCACTGAGTTTTTTTGACATGACAGGAATTGAAATAATTTTTCAACACAAATGTTCCATTTGAGGTAAAACTAGACCATTAATTTGTGTGGAAAATTTCAAATCATTCGCTCACTAGTTTTTTCCAGAGTAATTATTTTAATTCTGAAAAATGACCAAAATGTAAAAAGTGTTGCAAAGTTTTTACTCAGACCGGGCTAAGAATAGCACCAATATATAATTTTCAATTCATTTCTAAGTATTAGTATATCTCTTAATTATCTTTTGCATATTTTTTATTTTAAGTACACAAGCTGATCTATTTTTAGAAATTCAAATATTGTGTTTCTGTGGTATTACACCTCAGTGGTGTTTCTTTAACCATAACAATACACGTTCATATTCAATATTTTTCATAATTTTAATATCTAATTATATGTAACATATAAATCGAGACTCGCACACTAAATTGCAGACATCTCAACTATAACGCCATCTGTCGCCCTATTTTGCTTCAATTCATTTACCACACTTTTTCCCGCCTAAATTTGCATTAAGTATTGTATTTGAAATAATTTCAGAAACAAAGTTCTTACGGCAAACACCACATGTCTTTAAACAATTTGTAAACATCCAGTTTCTATATTTCCCATCACATGCTGTGCTTTCGTAGTCGTAGTACTTCTTACAGTCCGGTCTTTTATCAACGCAGGTCCCAGGAAGCACTAAATAAATACATAGATAAATAAATTAATAAATAAACCCAAAAAACAATGCTATTGTCCAAAAGCCGACAAGATAAGACTATTGTTACAGTAAAAATATAATTTATGGGTTTTGAAATTATTTCTTATTGTCTAATTTGTATTATCATCAGGATTGTTATAATAATTATTCATTATAATTATTCTAGTTACTAGATCTTTATGGGAAATAATGAAATTTGGCAAATTGGTTACGTTGATCCTTTTTTTGAGAAAGGCAGAAAACAATGTTTGAGCACCACACTAAATACCGTATTCCGGTATTTACTGGACAAGCCGCTTGAATGATTAAATGCTAAAAATCGCGCTTTTCACAAGCAGATTGCACTTTAAGATGACAAATCTATCTGCTCACACTAATCTACAACAGGATTATGACTGAAAAAAATGTAAGAATCGCCGAAAAAAGCGATATTTTACTATGACATATAAATCAAATATCATATTTGAAATAAGAACTATGAAATAAGCTAGAATGTAAATCACCGAAACAAGGGTCATTGCGACACCTGATCGTATCGACTGGTTTACTGTCCTGGTCACATAATGTGGCATTGATTTCTACATCGGCACCGGTAGACTGAACACAAACAAGTTCCCGCGTCCTGTATCCTTCGCCACACGTTCTCGTGCACTGTAAATAATTAATATAAAAATCGGTTTTATCATTTGACACGTGCATAAAATAGCTGACATATTTTACGGCTAGAAATGAAATATGGATACACATTACTATGAGACTAGAGCACAACACTAAATGCCGTATTCCGGTATATACCGGACAAGGCGCTTAAATGATGCTTAACTCTCGCCTTTACACCCGCTGAAATGCACTTTAAGACGCCTTATTCATTTGTTTTACACCAATTTACACACCGTCTAGAGGTCTTGCTGTTCCAATACTGTAGTGAGGTAAGTCCTTAAAAAATCAACTGTAACAATGACCATACTAAATCCGCAAACTTAAATGTAATTATACGATGCTACTTGTGCACACTTGATGAAAAGATGCCATTATGATGAAAAGAAAGAATGATAATTATCACGACGATGATGTGTACAATAATGAATATATTATCATTATATTATGACAATAATACATTATAAACTCTGCAGAACGACCACCCTTTGGTAGACAATAATTTTGTGAACGCTGTTGTGAGAGATTGCTCAACAGGGATCAAAACATTCAGAAGACTTACTTTAAGAAACAAAATATGATACTAATGTTGTGAAAAGGTGAATGCATTACAGAGGCTCGCTCCACAAAGGTTTTGTCTACAGAGGTTTCTACTAACGTAGGTAGTGATAATAAAACATATTTTATAAAGATATGTTGCATAAGATTATGACATGCATATAAACTCAAACATCAAAATTCTGTTGGCAAAGTTATCTCATGGCAAATTTGCGCTGGCAATTAATCTAATTCAGTTAACACATTTATTATTATGCTACACAATTGACGAGTTTTATTTCTGTAACTTTTCTACATTAATTTTCTAGAAATATGCTTATTAAATTAAGGTAGTCTCAATGTAATTTAACATCGGCCAATATCGTAATTAATCGGTCATTTTCGGAACGTTATATTTCTCGATTTCAGTATTCAATTTTTTTAACGTTTATATCCGGAATTTAGTGCATATTGTTAAAGGATGAGTGATTGCAAAGAATGTAATGACCAACATTTTGAATAAATAAGGTTTCGGATTTAACCGATTTGCTACGATATTGGCCGATGTTAAAATTATTTTTGGCGGGAAAGAATTATCTTAAGACCACATTAATGTTTGCCATTGCAAAATAAACTTATAAACTTTGCAATTCATTTTTATTTTTTTTATTAATCATTATTATTATTATTATTTATATTTGCCATGGCAAAATTGTATTGTTTTCCAAATAATTATGGCAAATTTGTTCCAAAGCACATGTTTGATGGAAAACTGTTCAAAATAATTTGTGTTTCCCATGGCAAAATAGACTTTTCAATTTCATATAGTAATTTTGCCATGGCAAAATTGCTTTGTAATCGGAATAGAGAGGGCAAAGTTTTTTTTCAATTGCAAACTTCGAATGACAAACTTTATTTAAAAATGCGTAAAACCTATTGACAAAAATAATTTTCTTAAACAAATACCTTTGACCATATGCCTGGTTTCCATGTGCACAAATTTTCACAACTTGAAGTATTGTGTGGCTTCAATTTGTCGTCGCATTTACTTGAAGGTATAGCCTTTGGTAAAATAGAAAGAAAATAAACACGCATCAAATAAAGATAAAAAATAAATGTCTTACAAATTAAACTATTTGAAAACATTTTTTTTTCTTCTGTAGATAAAACGAATGTTAAGTAAATTTTAATAATTGTTAATACAATTGGTTGCTACGGGCGGGTTTTTGATCAGTTTGGCTGAGTTTTCACTAGTTGGGCGAGGTAATTACGAACTTAGTAGGGTCTTGACCGGAGGGAGGGGAGGGGGTTGTCAAAAAAAATAATCTTAAGTTCGGTTTATTCCTGATAAGTTTGGGCCTGGCTTATACAGACTCAATTTACAGACTCAATCAAACAGAGGCTGCAATTTATGTAACTTTGTTATGATTAAAGCTTCCGAGGGATCACACTTTATCCAGATTATTTGTATGAATTGGTATATATATAATGTAAATACTGGTACAACCAAACAAACCTGATCGACACCATTGACCATACTAACACAATGTAGTATCCTCGACTTTATTCCTGTGCCGCACTCGACAGAACATTGTCCCCAGTCTGAAACCTTCCATCTGAGAAATATAAGAAAACAGCAATGTGCAACAATTTAATAAGTGAAAGTTTTAATGGGTGACAAATCTGTACAGATATGGAGTTTCATTACATTCTAAAATGTGTACAGTCACTGAATGCAAAGGCTCGATGTAAAATGTGTCAAAAGGTTATTTTTTTATCTTGCATGTACCTTACCACCTCTAACTTGATAATTTATTTTTACATTAACATTCATCATTAATTTCAGCTAATTGAATGCATAAGCCAGTTTAAACAGTTGACTGAAATAACGTGTGGACATAAAAATAAATATTTTTAAATTCGTTCATTTGGAGTGACCTCCCTTATACGAATTAACTTAAGAGTTACCTCCCTTTTTCACTGTAAGTAAGTATCATAAACATACATACGTTGGTGGACAAGCCTGTGTGTTACATTTGGAGAACGTTTGTTTTGGTTTATTTTCCAAGCTGCAATGATAGTCGTCTACAAACTCTCCTCGTATACTCATACATTTTATCGTCTTTGATTTTACACCTGGAAATAAATAAACATTTTCACTGTTAAAGGTACATTATGTCCTAGAAATTATTTTATTTTCATTTCTCAGAAGCATTTAATTTTTTTCTATTTTTACTTTTGTATCCTGTTATAGTTTCCAAAAATTACTCATTGGTCAAATACTTTAACTATCCTTTGCATCTGTTGCATTTTAGCCATTACTAAAAAATATAGTGATTTAGTTTTTTAAAGGAGGTCGAAATATTACTTTGTTTACATTTTGCTAATTTCATGACAAAAAATTATACATCCAGATAAGCATCTTAAATGTTCTAAAACCTTTATCTATATAAACGTTATAAAACTTACGTTTGCCTTTTCTAAAAGATGCATTTTTTTCATCATGTGCCTTTAAAGTTAGAAACTTTTTGGGGATAGTTTTCGTAGGCAATGAAATTTAAATGTAATTTGTTTCACTTATTCTCAATTGTTTCATGCACGGGTCCAGAGCGGTACGTATAAAATTTTCTAATATGTGAAACCCCTTTGCGATTTGGATGCCAACTTAAGTCTTTTTAGATAGAATCACACAAAAATAAATGAAAATTAGGTCTTGATCCGTCTTAAAACTATTAAAATGTCAATTTCCTTTGAAAAATGGTTTACCATTGTGAAAACTTTAAATTGCTACCCCACTTTTAAAAAATCCTAGATTAGCGCCTGTGTTCAACACTTATTTAGGATTAACAGCACACTTACTGATTAACAGCAAACTTATTCACTAACAATCTCCATGTATTTGCAGAAGTCATTTATAAGCTAAATATTGCACATTTTGTGCAAAAATTCGCATTTATCCGAAAAACTTTGCCAGTTATTTTTGTATATTTTTAGTTTTTACTGTGACCAAGCGCAAAAATAATGTATTTAGGCTAAGATGTGGACACAAATACAAATGAACCCAAAGAGGTTTCGTAGTTAAAATTAAGGCAACTTTACAGCGAAGACCTAATGCCCTAATAAGGGTATTATTTCAAGCATAATCAAGCACCGGATATACCGGAGTACAGAATATAGATCTGCCGTTTTTCTATACATTATTTACATGACATTTTAAGGCACCGGATACCGGAGTCCTGGGTGTAGAACCACCGTTTTTTTATGTACATTATGTTCATGGGCATTATACGGTGGCATAGAGGTGACATTTGCAGTTTAATTTATCTCGTTGCCACGACTTATTATCTTGAGGCCTCAAGATATTATCTCGTGGCCACGACTTATTATCTTGTGGCCACGACTTATTATCTTGTGGCCTCAAGATATTAACTCGTGGCCACGACTTATTATCTTGTGGCCACGACTTATTTTCTCGTGGCCACGAGTTATTATCTCGTGGCCACGACTTATTATCTCGTGGCCTCAAGATATTATCTCGTGGCCACGACTTATTATCTCGTTGCCACGACTTATTATTTTGTGGCCTCAAGATATTATGTCGTGGCCACAATATAATAAGTCGTGGCCACGAGATATATTCTCGTGGCCTCAAGATATTATCTCGTGGCCACGAGTTATTATCTTGTGGCCACGACATATTATTTCGTGGCCACGACTTATTATGTTGTGGCCACGACTTATTACAGCCAATTAAAATGGTCGTTTCATCTTGAATAAAAGTTAATATCACAACGACCGTATATCACACTGGCCAAAGTGTCACAAGAGCTGCGGGTCAAACGCTGCAGCGTTGGCCGTTTTATAGTTATTAGTCTACCCATTTCTTCTTTTTTGTATGGTCAGGTGTTTATTTCGTTCATCTTTGAAGATATACTTTGCTCAAATTTGATATTAGAAAATATTGATAATTGTTACACTGTCTCTTTGAAAACATAAAATAAACATGTTTTGACTTCACATTAGATAAACCGTGCTCATCCTTGAATATTAAAATCACAGAAATTTATTTAAATCTATGATATTCTAACTTAATGCGTCTGACTTGAATAAAGAAATCAATAAACTATATACAGGAAGCTGCATTCCCTATAACAGGTCAAGTAATCTTTACTTAAAAAACTGACACTACATATATTCATGGTTAACACCTATATTGTGTAGAATTTTAAACATAACATATCAACTATCTGTGAAGTCAAAACATGCTTATTTTATGTTTACATGTACAAAGGGACTATGTAACAACTATTTATATTTTCTTATATTAAATTTAAGCAAAGTATATCTTAAAAGATGAATGAAAGAAACACCTGACCATATAAAAAAAGAAGAAGAAGAATTATAAAATGTCCCCCTTCTTCACCGCCGCAGCGTTTGACCCGCCGCTCTTGTGAAAGCTGTGGCCAGTGTGATATAAAGTCTTAGTGATATTAACTTTTGTTCAAGATGAAACGACCATTTTCATTGGCTGAAATAAGTCGCGGCCACAAGATAATAACTCGTGGCCACGAGATAATATCTTGAGGCCACGAGATAATAAGTCGTGGCCACAAGATAATAAGTCGTGGCCACAAGATAATAACTCGTGGCCACGAGATAATAAGTCGTGGCCACAAGATAATAACTCGTGGCCACGAGATAATATCTTGAGGCCACAAGATAATAAGTCGTGGCCACAAGATAATAACTCGTGGCCACGAGATAATATCTTGAGGCCACAAGATAATAACTCGTGGCCACGAGATAATAAGTCGTGGCCACGAGATAATAAGTCGTGGCCACAAGATAATAACTCGTAGCCACGAGATAATATCTTGAGGCCACAAGATAATAAGTTGTGGCCACAAGATAATAAGTCGTGGCCACGAGATAATATCTTGAGGCCTCAAGTTAATAAGTCGTGGCCACGAGATAAAATAAAACTACAAATGTCACCTCTATTCCACCGTAGCATTAAGTTATAGAAATGACAGCGTAACATTATCTAAGAGTCTCTTTTATCATTATGTAGACAGAACGGTCACCTGATCCGCACGACCTTGAACAGCTTTGGTTTGGAAGTTCAGCCCAAGCATAAGACTGGGATGAATGTGGGCTGGGTATATTGTATGTATAGCTCATGTTAGGAGTAACGCCGGCATACTGATGATAATCGTAAAATCTTAGAATCTGCAAGAAACAAATAAAAACAATCTTTCCGAAATGTAGTTTCACAGCTAAAATATCTTATTGCCTTCCTATGACGAAATAGGTGAAGATTAGTCTTACGTAAAAGATAAATGCTGTTGATCTTTCTGGAAATTGAAAAGTGTCTTTGTTTTTCAATGAAAGCGATTAATTGCTTTAATTTTTACGACATCGAACAGTTCCAGTGTTATTTTACGACAATTATAAATGACATTTTTTAAATGCAGCCTCGTGGCGTCATATAACAATCAGTTTTACTGTGTTGTTGAAACTATTTTGTAGAAAGTTTATTCAGAATAGAAACATACATTTTTCAAATGTCTGAAAATAGCTACACATAATTTGGTATTAAACGGTACAGTTCGGTAAAGCTTGGTAGTTACCACCCTCTAAAATAAGGTGACATATTGGAACTACTTTCTGTCACATGGTAAAATGGCGGTCTCCATGTGCCACATTTATTGTTAAAGTGATAAAGATATGTTTCTTTTATACAATGAAAGAAAGAACAGCAGTGACATTTTGAAATTTATTTAATAAACAATCAATTTCCCTTCTAAATCAGGCAACGTTCTCAAAATATAGGAATTGTGTTACTTTTTCACGAACGAACATTGGCTATATGGCCAGTGTGCATTGGCTCATAACCTGAACGAATTACGTTGGTGAGTATCGAAAGTATACGGAAGAAGCCGATATTTAACGGTTGTATACGGAAGGAGCCGATGTTTAACGCTTGTATATCTTACCTGCACAACAATACTTTTTTCTATTTTCCCAACAATTTCGAGTGTCTCCCCATTTTGTCTATCGTTTAAGTACCGTAGCTGTATACCATACAGATTAAAGAGCGCAGATCCTGATTTCCGCATCCCGTCATTCAGTACCCGATGTCCGTTAACAAGCATGCCTGGTAAGATTCAAATTGTATATATTTAACTGCAAAATTTATATGTCTGAAGTATTTTAAATATGCGTAGTTATATGTAAAAATTATTGTTTAAAACTAATTGACAGTATAATAAATTGCATAGTATGTTGGACATTGCAGTATCCAATTGGACAATATTAATGTAATATCAAAGAAAACTCCGTAAACGACAACAGGAGGTATCCAAAATTTATTCGTAAGGAATACAATATATTTAGAAATCACACGAGTCTTTTTACTCATTTTTTTTCTCTTATGTGGGGGTTTAAAACTGACATTTCCCCCCACAATTTATACAACATCGTTATGTTTGAACATACTGCCGGCTCATATGAAAAATACAAAAATGAGGACCACGACCGAACCAGTAAGATGTTCTTAAGAATGAAATCAAACGTTTACGTCTTTGTTCGACTTTTGGATCCATTGATTAAAATTTGAAAAAAAAATGTGGCTGTCTATTTCCCATAACTGTTTACTTGGACACTTGTATATGCCAGTGTTTATTATAATCATGAACCCAAAAATAAGCGACCGGTTTGGAGCGACCGTGTATATGTTCACTTAACAAAAACTAACCTTCTAAGTGTTTAACCTCATTTGACCCCCATTGAAACGCGTTCAACCTATAGAAAAATCGTTTACAATACAATCTTTGGAGTTAAGGGAGCACATTTCAGGAGTGATTTTATTGGTCGGCAAATGATGTTGAACACTAATATTTTAAAGGTCTCACCTTATATGACAAATCTTGTGCGCATACGAACTAAGCAACTTAGAAAGAAAGAAAAAATCGGTTTGAAACAAATACATGAAGTTGTTCGTTCGGCTCTAACCATTGAGCTGTTTAAATTATATCAGCGCCAAACTACTATAACTGAACATTGCATAGACCTGTCCAATATAGTTTATCGGCCTATGGTCTCGTCATTTGTACAATTAAATGTAAATTAACCTTAAGACTACGGAATCCTATTAATTCTGTTGTAAACTTCCGATCAAACATCCTCGGCGAAGATTGACGGAAAGGGCCGAAAAGCTGCAATTGGTAAATTTCATGTGTCTGACGCGTGACATTCTCAGCTTAACATTTTAAGACAGATAACAATGCGAAACAATTCAAGAAAATTCGCAACGACTAGAAATGATTAAAAAGGAAAGGAAAAACACAAATTTTGAAGACTAGAAGTATTTTAGTTTAAAAAGGAAAAAAAACGCATTTTGACGATATCAGCATTTTTGATATCAAGTACCGTGTTGCAGTGTCATAATGATTAAACATATTGCTTTGGTATATGTTGCTTGTCATTTGATATATCTCGGCGAACTGTCATGTCGCATCTTATTTAACTGTCGAATTTTACTGTCATTTCGCATTTTATTGACAATTTGTCATGTCGCATTTTATTGTTATCTTTCATCTTTTTGTAATAGAGCATATTTTGTTATATCACATATTATAATTTATATTTTCTGTTATATCGTTTCTTGCTATATTACCAGAGACATATAGATAATCTATGTCTCTGGTAATACCACATGTTATTGTCATTTCAGATCTAACTGATACCTGATCACGTCTTTTTGTTATAAATACAACTCATCTTATTGTTATATCGCATGTTATTCTCATGTCGCATCTTATTGTTATCTCATATTTTTTGGTTTTTAAGCATATTTTTTTTTACATTTCATATTATTGTTATATCGCATTTATATTTTGTTATATCGCATGTTATTGTCATTCGTCGACATTATTTTATA